AAAGTCAAGGAAAGAAAAGGAGAGTAACATTCTGAAAGCCAGAACCAAACCCATAACCGAGCTCCAGGCAGGATGTTCACGTGTTCTTTTATAATGGAGAACAGGTAATTTCACTAAACTATAATATATATGTGCTTGTTATTCCCACACAGAGCAGCCATCAGAAATTTTAGGGCCCCTTACACGGCTTTAGGCCGAGGCGCCCCCTCCGCTGGAAACAGGGCTTAGTGACGCGCTGGACGCAGGGCTTAGTGACGCGCTGGACGCAGGGCTTAGTGACGCGCTGGACACAGGACCCACCTGAGAGTGACCCTGCAGAGCCCACCATAGATGCTGCACAGCCCATCTGAGACTGTCTATGGTGGGCTCTGAAGGGGTCTCAGGTGGGCTGGTCAAAGCTGCATCCCTCCCCCTCCTTTCCTTCCTTCCTTCCTAGCTCCTCTTACCTGCACACATGGCCTCGTCTGCCGCCGGAACGGCGAGAAGTGACGTCACTTCCGGCCAGTCCGACATCAGACGAGCAGCGTCGCTGATGGGGCCCTAGCTTATCTCAAAGCCACTGGAGCTGCAATGCTGGGGCCCTGCGCTGCTAGGGCCAGGCCTCCGCCTCCTCACCCTTCACCGTCGGCCGATAGTCATGTAAGGGACCCGAGCGGGCCCCCCAGGATGCCCGGACCCCTTACATGAGTATCTGCCGTACCCCCCTGATGGCTGCCCTGAATCCCACAACAATATTCTCTTCAGTTTGCACATTTGTAAAGGGACGTAACTATAGCTCACAGGACCCCATAGCAAAAATGTGTCGCCCCTCCCCCCTATGACCTCTCTCTGAGCCGTGAGTTACAATGGCAAGACTCCAAAGACTCCTCTTGTCATCTGACGTCCATTGTAGACTTTACGGTGGATTAGAGTTGTAGTCGAATGAAACCATTACAACCCTCAATGATACTGTACGGTGTTATCTTCACATGTTCTATGTTTAATTTGCCTCAACAATCTAATGGGGCCCCCTTCCACCCCAAGGCCCCATAGCGGCCGCCTCGGCTGCTACGGCTATAGTCACGTCACAGATTAAATCATTGCAAGTCTTTTTTTTTTTTTTCCATTACAAATTTGTTGATCTATCGGCACCTAAAGTGCTCAAATCAGCTATTTTGGCCTAGATTGTTCACTTCTCCAAACTCTTCACCCTTTTGTGGATAACTCTGTTAGAACAGCAGAAACAAGAAGTTAAATACTTAAAGCCGAACTCCAGGCAAATGACTTAAAAGAGAACTATGGGGGTAACCTTTTTATCCCGCAGTTCTCCCGAGAGAGCCGCATCCGGGAAGGATCCCGACATTACTGTCTGGATCCGCCCAGCTGCGTGACTGACAGCTGGCTCTGCCTATCTAGAGTCAGAGCCAGCTGTACCCGCCTCCTCCCCCGTCCGTTCCATTAGTCAGTAGACATGTGCGATTCGTTTCGTTACGAATCGAAATTCGTACGAATTTTCCTGAAATTCGTAAATTCGGAAGCATACGAAATCCGAATTGCAGTTTCCGAATTTATATCCGAAATACGAAATTCCGTTAACGAATTTCGGATCCGAATTTCTTTGAAACGGGAACTAATATTACCCCTGTAAATGAGGTTGAACAACATGACAAGATTTTTTTTAACTCGAAATACGGATCCGCTGCTGCTGAGAGTTGCATTACAATACACAGGCAGGAAATACAAAATTCCGTTGACGTATTTTCGTTCCGTTACGAACATTCGTTATATTGAAGTTAAAAAGTACATTTATATTGGAGTTTTTTTTTAAGTCCGAAATACGGAATTCGGATACAAAAACAACTACCACATCGACTCCAATATTAACAAAGGTACGAAAATGTGCCGAAACTAACGAAAATCCGTATTTCGGACGAATCCGAATTGAGTTTCGGATACGAATTACGAAATAACGGATATTACAAAACGGAACAAATTTTTTGACGGCGAACAAGTCTACCAGTCAGTGCTGGAGGATCGAACAGGGAAGGGGGGAATCCCTGCAGGGAGCCGTGAGTGACAGTCACGGCTCTCTGCAGGGACAGGATCGAGAAGTGAGCGAGTCACGGTATGTGTTCGCTCACCTCCCGATCTATAGAGCCGACGTGTGACAGTCTCATTGTCACAGGTCGGCTCAGATTATGAGGCTGAGTGAAAATCACTCGCCTCATAATAACATTTTCTGTTAATAAAGAACAATTTAAAAAAAACAATTGCGGACGTTGTTACAATATCGCATGGAGCGCTCAGCGAACTGGCCCCACGATTCTGAATATGAGATGATAATCCCGTCACTCGGCTCAATGCGTGAAGAAGGGAATCCGCGTTACACAGAAGCCATGTTACCGAATAAGCAAAATCCCCATTTCCTGTCTGTTGGCTTCTCTAAAATCTTTTTTTCGTCCCTAATAAAAAATACCCCGTGTCTCATTTAATGTTTTTTTCTACATTTTGATACATATTAAAATATACGACGCCTTCGGGCTGCAGGCACCTATTTTTTTTTTTCCGATGGTACATAAAATATAATTAGAAAGACAACGTTTTTTGGTTCTTTTTCAACGTGAAGTGTGCTGACGCGTCCGCTCGTCGTCACTCGTGTTCCTTAACGCATTCAGTGTGCCTCAGAATTTACCAAAATGGCAGTCAGTCATTCCTTCTTCTTCTGGTTTTCTTTTTTTTCCCTTTTTTTTTCTCTTTTTGTTACAAATATTCAGAAAAAAAGATTGTTGGTAAAGTTGTGTTCCCACCATAGCTTGGTTATGAATCCTAATTGAATGAAGATTGGGAGGGGGGCTGGGGGGGTCGAGTGTCTCTCGATGTGCTTCAGATCATAAATGAAGTTCATTCTTTTGCGTCATTGTTCTCAAGCAGAAAACAAAATCACGGCAACTTGATCACGACGATACACGCGCCGGCTCTTCCGATATTCAGAGAGACTTCCTGCAAAGCAAAGCGAATGAGAAGTGTCGTACATATTTTTATTTATTGAGTTGTGTAATTTATTCATTTGTAATGTATTTGTTGGTTATTTATGTTATTTATTTGTCATTTATGTATGTTATTTTTGTTATTTATCTATTTATTTAAGTATTTATTTATTTGTTATTTATGTTATTTAATTATTTATTTATGGGGTTTTTTTTGTCATTTATTTATGTTATTTATTCATTTATTTATTTAAGTATTTATTTGTTATTTATGTTATGTAATCATTTATTTATGTTATTTATTGAAAGAAAATTGCTTATTTTAAGAGTTTTTTTTTAAACCTAAATCACTAAAATCTCATATGAGTGTTAACATGTCATTTCGAAGGTTGAATATTATTTAAATCTGCAGCTTTCAGTAAATTATTCCATGGTGATCCTGCCATGAAAGTCCTTGTGCAGGCACGTCCTGTCATGAGATGACAACGCTCCGTCATTGTCTCCCAATTGTGTTCCTGCATTGTCACCCTGTTGCATGGAC